TTTGAATTTGATATATTGTTATGAGATTGAATATGCAAACGAGTCTTGAAGATTGAATTGCATTATGGAATAAAATCGTAAATTATGGTTCAAATTAAAAAAAATAATGTTAATGAAACAGGTTTCATGAAGGTGAAACTGGTTCATGTTGTAATTGATTCATGAGTAATATGAAATCGTTTCATAGTGAACCACGTTTCAGTGATGGTGTAGTTGATCCGTTTAGTAGAAAAAATGGAACATGAAACGGGTGCATAATTTATTTGGTTCGTCATGAAATAATTGCATGACGAAACGAGTACATGATGAATCTGCTTTCGGGATCTTGAAGATTGTAATCCGCTCCAAAATCTTGAAGATTGTAAGAATTAAAAGAAAGAATGCATCAAATCATGAGTGAAATAAAAAAATTAATTTACATGAAACAAGTTTCATGAAGATGAAACTAGGTCATGTTGTAATTGATTCATGAGTAATATTAAATCATTTCATGGTGAACCATGTTTCAGTGATGATGTAGTTGATCCGTTTAGTAGAAAAAAAAGAAAAATGAAACGGGTGCATAATTTATTTGGTTCGTCATGAAATAATTGCATGATGAAACAGATACATGATGAATCTGCTTCGGGATCTTGAAGATTGTAATCTGCTTCAGAATCTTGAAGATTGTAAGGAGTAAAGGAAAGAATGCATCAAATCATGAGTGATATAAAAAAATTAATTTACATGAAACAGGTTTCATGAAGGTGAAACTGGTTCATGTCGTAATTGAACAATGAGTGGTGAACTGCTTTCATGGTGAAACCCGTTTCAGTAATGATGTAGGTGATCCATTCAGTAGATGAAATGAAAATTGAAACGGATGCATAATGTAGGCGGTTCGTCATGAAATAATTGCAAGATGAAAAATAAATTAGTTTCATTAAGGGGGTGTTTGGGATTGCTTATAAAAGTTGCTTTTTAACTTATTTCAGTCTAGCACCGGTGATAAGTTGTTTTCTGGTGTTTTGATAAGAAAAAAAAAACTATGTATATCGGTGCCAAACCGGTAATAAGCTATTTTTGATAAGTTAATCTTTCCTGACTTATGAAAAACTACTTATTACCAGTTTATAATTTTAACCCTGTTTTATTTAACTCCGATTTAATACCACATAAGTTAATAAGCACTTTTACAAAAAAAAAAAAAACATAAGTTGTTTTAAATAAGCATCCCAAACACCCCCTCATAATAATAATAATAAATGTTAACGTAAAAATAATAAATTACTTTACAAAAAATADRTTWGTTTCATTAATAATATGATATACATGATATGGTTTCCTTGAATAAATGAATATTTGGTTTTACCCTTTTGCCCTTATCGGTATTATAAAATGTATTTTCAATTTTTTTTATTTTTAATTTTCTTAAATAACCTTGATTAATCTTAACCATTGATCAAGAAAATGGATGAGTGAGATTGGTTTACACGGTTTACACAAATGGAGGCGGTTTTTATTTGATCGCTCATCTCTCTCTCTCTCTMTCTCTCTCTCTCTCTCTCTCTCTCTCTATATATATATATATATATACTTGGGATCATGTGAGACCAATGGTTTTTCGTGAGACCCGTAAGACCAATTCTCAACCCTTGGATTAGATCTAYAATMKKMAWATCTRAACATTYATAAAYGCCACGAGACTYYTCAATAATYACAAAATTGCCACCATGCAATTTAGACCATTAGATCATTAACTTATAAAGTTGATCAATGAACATAAATTGGTCTTACGGGTCTCACAAAAAACTTTTAGATCTCACGTGAACCCAACCCTATATATATATATATATATATATATATAGGGAAAGGTTCAAACGAGAACCCCTGTGATTTACGAGAACGCGAAAACAACTTATTAACCCCATATTGTGATAACAATTAAAATTAAAAGATTTTTGAAATTAAGATTGAAATTTAAAACGATTCAAAAAAATTTGAGATTCGAAAAGGTAATAATGGAAATCAAAATCATACAATTTTAAATATGGATCACATTATAATCCTGGAAATTAGAGTATCCACTTAATTCAACAGTTATCATTTATTAGAAGGTATCGATTAAGAAGATAACGAAACTATTTCAAGGAGAAATTGAAGATCAAGAAGCCGTAAAAGTCTGGAAATCAAACAACAAACAGGAATCGAATAACAAACAGGAATCGATCAGCAAGAAGAAGCCGTAAGGTTTGCATGCAGGAATCGAACATCAAGAAGAAGTCGTAGAACACAGTTTATTCAAAGTATATGTCACAATTACTCGATTTGAACATGTTTTCATTCGATTAGGATTAGACCATCACACATTTATCACAACGACTACGGACGAAATTGACTAAATGATTTGGTGTGATATGAGTGTGATAATCATGTGATATCACTATCATAACAGTGCACTCGATTTAATCATGGTTTCGATCGGTTAGAGTTAGATAATGACACATTTATCACAACGATTATTCATGGTTTCGATAGGTTAGGATTAGATAATCACACATTTATCACAACGATTACAGGCGAAATCCACTAAACGATTTGGTGTGATATCACTATTATAACATCACTTGCACACTCAATTTGATCATGGTTTCGATCGGTTAGGGTTAGACAATCACATACTTATCACAACGATTACTCGTGGTTTCGATAGGTTATGGTAACACTCGATTGATCATGGTTTCGATAGATTATGGTTATACAATCACACAATTATCACAAGAGAAGAAAAGAGAGTGGAAACGAACGTGATCAATCTAGGAAAAAAAGAGATAATTATAATTAATTAAAATAAAATAAAAATTATAAAAATTACTTAATTGCATTACTGCCCTTATTAATTTATTTATATTTAATATAAGTTAATTTATAAATTAAAAAAGTTTGAGGTTATTGGGTTGTTCTCGTAAATTATAGGGGTTCTCGTTTGAACTTTCATCTATATATATAGGGGCTGGTTCAAATGTTAACCAAGTTTATTGTGTTAACTTTGTTAACCAATCTTGATCATTGATTCTTACAATAAACGGTTGTGATTTATCATATTAAAAATTTAATTTTTTAAATTTATAATTTCACAAAAATATGTGAACTAAGTGGAAAAGGGTATTTATGTAATTTCCTTTTTTATATAACTCCCATATCATTAATTGGGAGTTACAAAATCAAAAAATCTCATGATTTTTGTTAATTTATTTTTGTTAATATAAGAATCATATGAACACATCTATATATATGAACCATTGTGTCAAATACGACAAAAATTGACATATATATGAACTTGGACTGCATAACATTTATGAACATAATAAGAATAATTGCTACACGAAAGGAAATAAATAAATAAAAACAGGAACGAGCCAATGTTGAAATATGCAGTTAGTGTACATATGAAAGCAATATGAACACTTATTAACAATAGTTTCTTCATTATGGACATTCAGGAGTGAACCAATGTTGAGATATGCAGCTAGTGTACATATGAACACAATATGGACAACTTGTGAACAATACTTCCTTCATTATGAACATATTCAGGAACGAGCTAATGATGAGATATTTAGCTAGTGTACATATGAAC